AAAGATTCATAAGCTACACAGTACTTAGAAAAATAGAGTGCTTTTCTCAAATCGCACTTTACAAGCTCTGGAGAACACAGAGACGTGCTTTTCTTGACTGATGGTGAAGGAATGGTTGCTGCAGTAAAGGAAAGTTAAAAACTTAGGGCAGCAGTGTGGGAGGATCGGCTCACAGGGGTGCATCCGGGTCTAATCTGCCAGGGCCAGGCTGGAATGCTGCCTTCCCTTTTTACTGAGATAATTGTCACTTGAGAGTCTGCATAGCAAATGGAAACTTCTTGTTCCAGAGAGAAAAATGTCTGCACAGCACCTCCCACTTCAAACGCCATAATCAGCTCTCCACCTTCCATAGCTCCGTGAAGGACTTTCTAACAGGTTGGTTGACACCCAGGACAGAGAGATGCCCTCTGCTGCCAAAAAAAAAAAAAAAAAATACACCCAAGTCCTACTCCCCAGAACCCAAAAATAGGGTCTTTGGGTCTTTGCAGATGTGATTAATCAAGAACTTGGGAACGGGGGTTATGCTGGATTATCTGGGTGGGCCTCGTGGGATCACCTGGGCCTTAAAAGCAAGAACTTTTCCACTGAGATGTGAGCTGTGACTACAGAAGAAGAGCACGGAGCTGCAGAGTTGCTGGCTTTGACCTTGGAGCCCGGAGGCCATGGAGCCCAGGGCAGGAGGCAGCCTCTACACCCTGCCAGATTCTCCCCTGGGGCCTCCCAAAGGGAAGGCAGCCCTGCAGACACACCTGGGGTTTGGCTCAGTGAGGTCCAAGTTGGACCTTGGCCTGCAGCGTGATACACCTGCGTGGACTTGATCCACCGAGTTGCTGAGATCTGTCTCCACAGCCATAGAGAACCAAGGCCCTGGAGGATGGCCGGTTGAAATACGAGCCTCTTCTCTTCCTATGTCCCATCAGACTCCACGCCCTGGTGATCCTACCATAGAATCCATACCTGTGACACCAGCCACTACTCTCTGGGGACTGGCTTCCTGCCAGGCACCTGCTAGACACTGGACAGGATCTCTACAACGCTTGCCAAGTGGACATTATGTCCTTTTTATCGGAGGAAATTGGGACTCAGAGATGAAGTGACCAGATAGAAATGAGAGCCAGGGCCAAGCCCGTGGTCCTCTCTGGGGGCAGCTCTGGGAAGAACGGCGCTGACCTTCTGAACTCTGGCTTTCCCACCCCATTCCCACAGCCAGGGCCCGTGTAAGGTCCTGTGTCCCTCCTGTGTCCTCCATGTCCACTGCTTCCTAAGGTGTCCTCCGCCCAGCTCTCGTCCCCAACCACCCATCACACACCATGAGCCCAGCAACCTCTCCTGTCCATGACGCTTCTCTGCTCAAACTCTCCAGGGTCCCTGTTCTAGTTGTCACAAAGCCTGCGGTTCCCAGTGTGGCAGCCAGAGCCTTCGTAACGTCCTGAGTTCCCTCCTCCAAACTCTCCACGCTGTGGACCACCCATAGGTTAGCTTTGCTCCAGCAGGTGCCTGGACTTGACGTCACCATGCGGATGAACCTCCCCACAGGACACGAGGAAGCTGTGGGTCAGCAATGTGCACAGGACACACGGTTTTTTAGTAGTTAACATTAGATCCCAACTCGCCCATCAGCCTCCCGGGAGCCTTAGAGATCTGATCTCTGATCCCTCCATTTCCCTCCTCTGGGGCCAGCACTGAGTGAAAACAGCCACCTCTCTCCTGGGGACAGTAGCTCCTGTCTGTTCTCTGTACAGAACTGGATTCTGTGTCTCCCTATGGCTGAAAATCCTTAAACAGCTGCTCATCACCCTTCAGATAAAGACCCTCATCCCTAGGAGTGTGACCCCTATGGGACTTTCCAGGTCCATCTTGGGTCCTTATGCCTCCCACTACACCCACTCTCTTTCAGAAGCCTCCTGTGCTTTGCTTCCTCCTGCCTCAGGGCCTTTGCATGTACTACTTTTCATCTCAAGCACTCTTCCTCTGCACCTTTCCTCTTCTTCATCCTTTGTCTACCGTCAGCCATGCTTCCCCAGGATGCCTCCCTGTTCCAGACTGGGATGGAAGCCCTCAGTGAGATGCTCCTCTGCTTCCAGTGCATGGCCCGATTCAAGCCATCATTAATTATCTGTGTATGTGATTGATTTATGTCTTCTCTCCATCCAACCCAGTGTTGAGGATAATACCTGAAATGACGAGGGAAGTCAGAAATTACCTGTTGAATGAATGACACCAAATGTCCCCAGCTGTGAAGTGGGTCTGGTAAGCACCATTTAGGTGTCTTGTCGGGGAAAGAGCGAGGGAGGTACCAAACGGTTCAACACTGGTGACACAGAGCTGGGTGTCCTGTCCTGTGGCTGGTTGTTATTTTTGCCAGTATTAATTTTGTTTTATTTTTTTGGGGGGGGGGAAAGAGTTAAAATGTTATAAAAATTATTTACATATATCCATTCTGAAACAAATTTAAGCTGTAGGAAAAACCCTTAAGTTGTCAAATGAATACATTGAAATGAATCTTATTTAAGAACACAAATAAGGGCTCATGACAACTTGTTGAAAAGTGGGATCTGGTTTTTTTTTTTTTCTTACTGTAATATCTTTAAGGTCAGGCTGCACAGTCAGGCACAGAACATTATCTTATTTTAAGTGTGTTATACATGAGGACAGACCATATGCACAGCCTATGTATAGAACACCAGGCAGAGCGGATTCCAAAACCATCCTTGCTCACCGCTTCTCCTCACACGTTTCTTAGGAGGGCATCTGATCTAAAAGTGTTTCAAATGCTTCTACCTGAAGGGTTCTTAGTATTTTGGCATCAAAGGAAGTTGATGAGCTCTATTTAACTTGGGGTTCCGATCCTTGCTTTTATTGTGAGTTTCGGTGATGGACATGGTTTTTACTACCTTTCCGAATCCAGCAGAAAGTACAATACCTTACTTCCAAACTCATCCTAAAATAACACTGCTCTTTTCATCAACACCAGAGATGTGTTGCTGTTTCTTAAGTCTCATCCATGAGGCACGATTCTTACTTCTCTTGGATGGCCCGTGATCTCAAAATGAGACAATCTCATGGGGAGCTGCAGAATTAAAGGCCGTGCACATCTTATTTTGTCTCCATTCCCACGGCCCAGGGCATAGGAGATACCCAATAAATACCCTGATAGGAACACACGTCAACTTATATTTATTTATTAATTAAACTTTGTACATTAAAACCAATACATGTTTATCTTGGCAGTTTTAGGAGAAGTAGAAAAACAAGAAGGGAAAGGAAAGATCATACTATTTGAAGATAGTCTCTATTAACATCTTGCCATATTCCTCCAGGCATTTTTTCTATGTATGCACATATTTTTTTCTTTCTACAACGTGGCTATACATACCGTTTGCTGATGCATATTTTATTTTATATACAAATGAATTCCAGGCATGTGTCCCACGCCACCACGTACTTTTGACCACATCATTGGCAGCCATGCATCATTGCACAGTAAGAATGAGCCACACGGCTGTAACTACCTCACATGAAAACATCACAGAGGCAGCACACATTCTGTTTCTCGGCATTTCAAGAAAGAGGACACAATGGTTACCAGGGATGAGTTCAGTGAATGAGGCTTGAATCTAAAATTACACAGAACATGTTTTGGTCTTTCTCTGATGGACCAGGAACATTCTAGAATGACTTTATATGTAGAAGTAAACACACTTGCCTTTACAAGAGTCACCTCTGTGCAAGCCGATCAAAAAAGAAAACGGTGGTGCTTTGGGTGTCAAGAGAGGAATCCCAAACCAGTTTCTTCAATGCCACCCAAGATGGCCCTTTATAATAGAAGTCAATGATTGACATGTTGTTTGTATTTGAAGCTAAAAATTCTGCTCGAGTATTGAGGCAATACATTGCCATTCTTTTCTTTCTTCTTTATCTGAGAAAACCAGTCCCTCGCTTCAACCCTGTGCCTTAGGTAGGGCAGCTTGGATAAACTGCTGTGAAGATCAGAAGTTTACCTTCAACAACAACTGACCTTGACAAATGCATGGGATCTTGTTCCTAAGACTGGTTTTGAAATTAATTTGCACTTGAGACTCATAATGAAGCCTGCACATATGTTGGTCAGGCTAAGTGCTGGACAATGCCAGGGATGGTCTATGATATTCATATCATGGTCTATGGGGACATAGTACTTGATGGCTGTGTACTCTGTGTACCTGGTAAATGACAATTCCTGCTGGTAGTGTGGAGCGCCCCCGACACCCACTCACACACATGCACACACACACACTCTCACAGAGTTATATTTCACATATCTTACAACAAATTGTAAAATTCCTCTTGGAAATTGCCAAAAAGCATAAATCAAAATGGATTTCTTCAGAATTCACGATTACTATTGAACATGGTCATTTTAATGAAAAAGATCCAGCAATATCTCCGTCTCTAGATGGGAATGTCAATAATGAAGTATGTTGGATGATTTATGACAGTTTTCTCCAAGCCAGTTTCCCAGCCTGAATCGGTGACTGCATTCTGTAAACTGGAGGGATTTTAAAAGGTTAGGATATATAGGACAGGGTAAATACCTGTTCACTTGCTAAAATATCTTTGTCTGTTTGCTGCAACATTTCAATTAAAATAAGGTACTTGTAAGAAAATCTCAGACCCAGAGTTCAATCTCTCTGAATACAACTAATGATATAAAGTAAACATTCATTCAGTCAACTGGAGGTCCCTGGGGATTATCCAGAGATGAAGGAGTCACTCTTCCATGTCATAAAGCATGACTTAGGGCTACAGACTGAAAGATGGTGGCAAGGGCTGGGGAGGGAGGGGACGTCTCTTTCCCCCTCCTTCAAGAAGAGTGGATCTGTCCAGAGACACAGGGACAGTTCTTGAGCCTCTCTCCTCTCAGTGCTCAGCACAGTGCCTCACCCAGGACTTTTTTAGATGTTTGCAGATGAGGAAGAGGAAAGGATTTACAAAAGGGGGGATCCAGTCTTGCGTGCCCCCTACGAGCCTGAGCCCACGACGATCCTCCGGCTGATGGCTCCCGGCAAGGTGTAGATGAAGAGCACCAGGAAGATGATGAGGATGATGAGGATGAAGCCGATGATGATGTACTTCTTGTAATTCTTCCAGATGAGGTGGTACAGGCACTTGAAGGGGCTCATGAACCAGGAGAAGGAGGTGTCTGGGCGGCTGGGGGAGGAGAGAGAAATCGGGGAAGGGGGTCGTATGGTCAACACTCAGGACTCTCGGGCCCTCAGGAAATATCTCTGGCTCCAGATTTCTGGGGACCCAATTTCTGAGCCCTGAGAATGGGGGCAGAGACCACACATTGCCTGAGCAGGAACAATCTGACATGGGGTGACAAGGGTCCCTGTCGCAGCCTAAAGGTTGGTCTGGAGTTACAGCCAGAGGCCCCACTGCCTTCCGTCTGTCCCACCACGACCAGCTCTTGTCCCACTTTGGCCTGCAGCCTCCTCCGACCACCTCAGTCCATGATGAGCACCTCACTCTGAATTTCTAACTCCCCTATCGCCCGACATTTGTCTCCTGCACTCTGAGAGCCATTTTATGAATCTGTTATTTTTCCCTAAGTAAACAGAAATCTGCTGGAAGGTGTGGCTATGTCTTGCATCTCTTCTGAATTCTCCAAAGTGTTCTTTTACTGGGTGCTTCTAAATAATGGAGCTAATGAATAACTAAGCACCTAATGTGTTCCTAGCACTGTGGGAGATGGAAGGTAGGCCCAAAGGCAAGGCCGCTCACCTTGAGACACCTGGAATAGGACACATACAATTTCTGTATTTATATGCAGATTTCATATCTATAGCTATTCATTTTTTATTAATATTTTCTTTTTTAGTTATAGTCGGACACAATACCTTTATTTTATCTATTTATTTTTATGTGGTGCTGAGGGTCGAACCTAGGGCCTTGCACACGCTAGGCGAGCGCTCTACTGCTGAGCCACAACCTCAGCCCCAGCTATTGACTTTTTAATTGATATGTAATTAAGAATTAAATTCAATAAAGCAACCCTTTTTTTTTTTCATAGTAAATCTACTTCTGGGAATTTACTGATTTACAAAAGGAAAATATCTTCGTCATATTATAATTATAGAAAAAAGAAGAAAATTGAATATCTGATGGGGGGTGACCATCAAGTTAATTGTGGGCATTAAGTCTGTGAAATATTCCACAGACATTAAAAATCCTAATTAGGGCAACTACGGCAATATAGGAAAACTGTTCAGTGAAGGATTTAAAAAAAATTAAGACAATTCTGTATGTTTGATTCAAGGTCAAGTAGAAAAACCTGTGGACTTCATATTCACACGAAACATGGGTAGGAAGAGGATGTGAAAGCAATCTAGAAATGCTGTGTCCCCAACACGACAAGGATCTCTCCATTTGCCAAAGTCTCCATTGCTGTCAGGATGGTGTTCAATCGTGGAAACACAGGGCTACACAGGTTGCCTGGCACCGATTGACTGCCTCCTGCTCCTTAGGGAAGCTCCAGAGGAACAGGCGTCCTCTGAGACCAGAGGGGCTGCAGTGGCCCTTCCCCAATCCCACTCCCCCACAGCTGCACTCACTTGGGCTTGGCCAAGGGCTCCGGCTCTTTCCGGGCTTTCCCCACAGGATTCTTCTCGGCTTCTTCGGCTGTGACCAGGTGGAACTCAGCTTCCACCTTGCCCTGAATAAAGACAAGTGCTTCATTTCTAGTCAAGAAGACCTGCTAGGGCAATGCGAATCCTAGAGGAAGGGCTATGGTGTCAGAGAAGGCCAGCAAGTACTGCGACTGTTCTGCTGATTTTGAGAAATACTGCTTTCTTTCCAGTCTTTGGAGAAAGAAACCATTTTATGAATAAGAAAAGCCCCAGAATGATTTTTTTTTGTGTGTGTGTGTGTGTGGAAGGAGAGGGTCCCACCTGGGCACACAGCTACACACTTAACCAGGGAGACAGATACTGGTACACGTGCATTATGCTGCAGGTGAGGATTTAATGGGTGAAGAAATCACACTCATGATAGAAACTTAAAAGCAATTAGAAAGGGGATTGAGGACTTGAGTGGCAGGTCCTTTTGCATCTACGACTCTCTTTCTGTCAGTTCTTAAGAGGAAGTTGGTGGGTGTGGCCCCACATCTACCCAAGGGCTCCTCTGTCATCCTTCATTCCTTTTGTGTCTACACTATTTGCTTTAGAATTACCCTCTTATCCTAGCACCCCTTCCCTCCTCCTGTCTGCTCTATGAGAAACAGCCTCTCTGACTTGAATATTGAGAATAATGTGTTTTTTGAAAAAACTTTATTTATTTATATATATATATTTTAGTTGAAGGTGGACACAATATCTTTATTTTATATTTATGTGGTGCTGAGGATTGAACCCAGTGCCTCATGCATGCTAGGCAAGCGCTCTACCACTGAGTCCCAATCCCAGCCTGAGAGTAATGTGCTTTCTAAAAGTGCTTTTCCAAAGTTATTGACAGTGATGTATATCTTGAATCATCAAAATTTGAGACCGGATCCCTGCAAAAATCAAGTCATTCTTTCTCGTTCATGCATTCACTCATTACTTCGGGGACCCTCTGTATGCCAGGCACTGTTGTAGACACTGGAGATGTAATGACTAAGAAGAATAGACTCTCTAATCTCCTGAAGCATCTGGTCTTGGTGGAGGAGAGAGACTCGTCCTCCTCCTGACTCCTTTGGCTTCATCTGTTGAGATTTAAAGTGATACTAGGGAGACAGATACTGGTAGGGACTATAGTGTCCTAGAAGTATTTGAGGACATATGACCACTGCTTGAACTCCTCTCTCTGGATCACACGTGGATTAGACATTATGTAATTTCAAGGCATGGTTGACTTCTCACCCCAGTGAAAAGTTCTAAGAATCAGCTGAGCCAGTGGTCCTGCCTTAACTAACCCATTCACCCTGAAAAATACAAGGACTGCCCATCAAGCAGGGTTGGTTGCTTGATGACAATGTCATTGTGGGAGAAATTAGAAAGAACTGGTGTGAGGTTGAGGAGCAAAAGAGGATAAAGTGGCCGGGTATCTGCATGTTAAATAAATGCAGTGGGTTTTTGTTGCAGGTGAAGTTGTGAGTTCAAATCTAGATGTTCTTAACCACCCTTTGGATTAGAACATGACCAAACCCAAACTCAAATGTCCCAAATTCCAGAAAAGTTCCTCAGATGCATGAACATATGCAGTCTCATTCCTATTGAGAAATCTTGGCCTTACAGTCAATGGCTTGCACGTAGAAGCACTCAGGGCATATTTGAAAAGGTGAGAAAGAAAGAAAAGAAGGCTTCTGTTGATTATAATCACTCTTCCACACAGCTATTGAGATGGAGTAACTGCAACAGAACTCTAACTGCAAATACCAGACTTTATGGATTGCTCACTTTGTTCTGGTTCATTTATTCTATCATCTCCCTCGCTCTCCACCCCCCCTCTTTTTCTCTGGCTCAGCAATGAGCAAGGCAAACGCAGAGCTCCTTCTCATAGGTGGAGAAATCAAGACACAGCAGTCAAATTTTCCAAGGTCACACACACAATAAGCCAACCCACTGGAACCGGAGCCCAGGTCTGGGTGATACCAAAGCTCATGGCTTCCCTTGTAGCCAGCCGCCTCCCGACTTCTTTATCCATTTGCCAGATCGTTAAACTAGAAGCTTCACAAGGCTCTTCTTAACTACATGAGACGATGCCGTGATTGTCTTCCTAATCACCATCTAAAGGCACTGGTCTTCCCGGGTCTATCTTCTCCTATGTCAAATGGCCAGATGCTCTCTAGAGCCACCTGGCTTTCACTTCTAGGGTTTACGAAATGCAGAATGAAGCCTGAGGAGCTCTTCCAAGCCTTGGTGACTGGAAGAAATCCAAGAAATGAGCCCAAAACTCATGGCAGAGGCACTTCTATGTGCAAACAGGATGTATCCCCAGGGGTCATTCAGAGGTGACCTAAGTGACACCAAGCAGTTTTTCATACATGACATGCTTCATCCAGTAGCTCCAATGTGAAGGATAGTCAGTTTAAGAGGAGCTAACCAGTTGCTAGGTTCCAGAATGCTTGGAAGAGAGAATATGTGTAAATCAACAGAACATACATTGGGATCAGAGTAAAAGGATCCCAGCAGCCCCCCCTGTTCCCTAGTGCTCCATGATAATAAGCTCAGTCACAGGCCTTTATAACAGTTGGTGCTGTGTGCCTGCGTTATTCCATCTAAACCATTTGACAACCTGGCAAAGTAGACAACGCTTCTACCCCATTTTGCAGTCCATGAAACAAGGGCGTGGCAAGGTCGGCTAACTTGGATTTAAAACCAGGATTTGTATCCAGGTCCTCTGATGCCAAATCCCATTTATCTTTTACTTCATTTGTCTAAGTGACCTCTTGTTAAGGAAGAAAAGAACTAGCCTGTTTAAATAGTATGGATTTGTGTACCTTTCCTGAGATGTTCAAGAGAAACTCCATAATCCCTACCATCGCTCTGACATTAGTATATGCATTTGACTCCCACTATGGGCTGGCCCAGGAGAGCCTAGGGAATGTCACAGCTTAGCATAGCAAGCAGTTGAGTGCACAGGAGTTAGACAGGTCTGCACTGAAGACAGGTTTGCTGTGCAAACCTGGGTGAGTTACCGGCCCTCTTTAAGCCTTGCTCTCCTGGGGGTGTTATTAGGTGGCTTTGAAACATAAATGAAATAACACATTTACAATGCTTAGCCTGGTGCTTGGCAAATAGAAACATTTTAAAAAATGAAAGCTGCTACCTTCGGCACTGTTTCATCAACAGACACACATGTCTAATGGAAAACATCTCTGCTCATACAGAAAATGCCCAGAGAAGACCCACAGACCTGCTTCTTACAGGAAAACGTAAAGTAAAAGAAGGAAGACAGTATTCAATTAATTTTGCCTTCAGCACAGAAATCATCTGTGATTATCCTGGAGAGCCCTGCTATAGCCTCTCTGCCCTGCCTGGGTGGTTGCAAAGCATTTACTGAGCATCAGGAAGGCAAAGAGGAGGTTGTTACTGCCACATTCTGATAAATACCACGCCTGGCTGCAGTCTCTCCACACAGAGCATTCTGTGTCCCGTGCCAATCATCAGTATTCAGCCTAGCAGCAAGTAGAGATCTAAAGCTAATAATAGCCTCCAAATGTAATTTAAAACCAGGGTTAGAAAAACGTGAGCAGTTTGAGATACTAGCCATTAACCTAAGGACATCTGTGGATGGACGAAAATGATAAGGCAAAGTCCCTGAAAGATCATGGATTTATTTTGTCACATTTGTTATCTATGAGCTTCAGACTTCACCGTGACTAGATAGTGGACATCCGGGGAAGCTGAGAGTGAGCTCTCTGATTGGAAACCCTTTCCTCAGCAGCAATTATCGAAATGCAGCCCTCACTGGTATTACACGGGGTGTCCTCCAGCATCAATGGTGGGATGTGTGAGGTTCAAATTCCTTTAGGAAAAGGAATACGTGTGTGTGTGTGTGTGTGTATGTGTGTGTGTACACATCTATACACACATCCATGCACATATAGATATGTGCATACATACATACATATATGCATGTATGTATGTGTGTATTGTATAGTCATACCCTGAACTTGGAATTCCATTCTGGATAGCTGAATTAAGGAAATGACTCAAAACTCAGAATAAAGCTTTGTGTACAAAACACAGTCACTCTTGGGGATGTTCAAATTGTCTTATTTGCCCTAATGAGGTGTCTCAGATTCCTCTTGGATTTATCTGCCTTGATTCTGAAGTCAGTCCCTTCTCCAGTGATCCCAGGCTTCCTTTAGTAGGAGCTAGTAATTAGAAACCAGGATCCAGAGGCTAGTAGGTTTCTTTGTACTGGGTGATTCTGGTTCTAAGTTCTTTCAGTGGACAGAGCTGGACAATATATTTTTTAAAAATCAACAAATCCATAGTGGTAAAAAAGCAGGAGTCAAAATCCCATTTTCTATTATTGGAGGTGACTCTTATACCAACTCTATTTTTTTTTTAGTTAGTGCATTATAGTTTTACATAATATTGGGGTTCATTTTGATATAATCATACAAGTATAAATGTAATTTGCTCCCATTCAGTCCCTAGTACTCCCTCTTTCCCTTCCCTCCTCCCTCCCCCATTCCCTTTCCTCTACTCTACTGGTCTTCCTTCTATTTATAGTTTTGTAAAAGTTAGTTCTTTATAGATATACATAAAGATAACATTCACTGTGGTGTATTTACACAATGAAGTTTTACTCAGCCATAAAGCAGAATGAAATTATGGCATTTGCTGGTAAAAATGGATAGAAGTGGAGAACATCATGCCAAGTGAAATAAGCCAGACCCAGAAAGTCAAGGATTGAATGTTTCTCTCAAATGTGGAAGTTGCACCATGTCTTGATTCTAAAATTTGGGAATTAAGAGATATAATTAAACATTTTATCTTTTATGGCTGTAGGGAAACTCTTCTTAATAGATGACTGCCAACTAATAAATGGAGAAAGGATAATAGAATTAGATGATAGATAGATACAGATGGATAGACAGATGAATGGAAGGAAAGAAGGAAGGACAAAAGTTAGGAAGACTTAGGAAAATCATTTTAGCTCACCAGTGGTTACTAAAACACCGGGTGAGAGGTGACAGCACAACAGGAATTCCCCACCGTGCCA